ATCTATCTATCTATCTATCTATCTATCTATCTATCTATCTATCTATCTATCTATCTGACGGTGAAGTTATTATTCTGGTTATTTTGCGTTTTCATGTCTAGTTGTAGATATGCTCTCAGATATATAGGAAAACATACAAAAATGAAGTGCTTTTAGTTACATATGCCAGAGATCTCATCTCAACCAAGCTTAGCAGGGAAAGTGCATATTAGGTCACTGAAGCAAAACGTTTGCTCAAGAGGGGTTTTACATATCAGTCAGTTATGGCACATGTTCCATTTTTGTGCTGATCTTTCTGATTTGCCTTTTTTTTATATAAGAATTTCATCTCTGAGCTAGAGACTGCTGTGGTTCCAGGAGACTTCCCTCACACCTACAGGAAAAATGCCCTGCTTCCTATAGCACTGACCAAAGTTTTATAATACAGTGGGCTGCTATTATGCTTGTCTGCTGGATAGAATCAGATAGGACCACTGTCTGGCTCTTCACTGACCCTCATCAGGAGAACTCTCAGTTGTCCTTGGCCCACTTCTCATTGGGAGTGCAGTCTCTTTTATGCTCTCTGACCCTCCTGTGCTGCCCACATCTCTTTGTCCATCAATTTATCGACCCAGTTTCTCAGACATGATGTAGATTCAGTGCACAGTCATCTTGAGGATTGTGAGGGACCCCTTCTCTTAGAAACCATTGTCTTTTCCATGCCAGGAGGGCTGTGTGGGAGGCATAAATTTCCAACAATTTCTCCAAATACAAGCTCTGTAGATCCTTTTATGTCTCCATATGGCAGGGGACTTAAATGTTGACTGGGTTGCATAATGAGGATTCACCATGAAAAATGCATTTAATTGTGTGGCTACCACAGACTTAGACAAACTAAGATAGTATGGCATCAGTGACATTGAGAGATATAATAGAAAGAAGACCGTGAAATGTGTGGCCTGGGTAACAGTCTTTCCCCGTGAGCCCTGCTCTATACCTTCAGCCCACGCAATGCTTTAATCTTTAGAACACAGGACCGGGACGGCCTTGGTGCTTTTGTGTGTTTACATCTCGCACATGTCCTATTATCCCAGAATACTTAGTCACATCTGGATGTGACCGAAAGGAGAAGTCACTTAAGGTGACACTAAGATAGTGAACCACTCTACAACCTTTATATCAATATTTTAAAGGACAATTTACCAGCTTTTATAGGCTGGAGTTGGCAGCTAACAGTTGGTATCAAAAATTAGATTGAAGAAAATCTGTTGTTTTAACAAAGGTTTGTAATTTTTCCTCTCGGAAATTTGGAACTTTTACAATTTTGCTAAAATACTTTAAGCACAGATGCTAATTGGTTTTGTGAAACTTGTGGACTGATACACTATCTTGTCATAGAAATATTATCATTTTGGTGTATGAGTGTTTCACATGGGTCCTTTTAAACCATAATTTTTTTATGCCGCTTTGCATCCACATGGATTAGGAACTAAGTGACAGTCTAGAATAGGATAGGAATATTTCTCTAATTTACTATAAAGTAATAGCAACATAGAAACTATTAATGACTTTTTTCTAATATTTTTGTACTTTTTAATGAGTTGCAATCAAGTCAAACCTTGGTATCAACACTGTTATGTTGTAAATGTCACATTAAAAGCTTTTCTGCATTGAGCATAGAGAGTAAAAGGAATAGTGATCAAGGATGAGTATCAGAGCATCAGTACCAACCTTCCCCTTATGCTAAATGAAGAAACTGAGAGTTAGAAATCAGGGATCTTTGAGTAATAAAGATTTTTCTCAGGATCTTCTCCATAGCGTGTGCGTGTGTGTGTGTGTGTGTGTGTGTGTGTGTGTGTGTGTGTGTGTGTATGTGCATGTGAGAGACAGTCAGTGAGAGAGAGAGACACACACACATGGTGAGAGAATTTGTTAGAATTACTGTAGCGAAAAGAGAGGTTTCTCAAACAGCAACGGTAGGCAGGTAGAGGCAAGAAGCTGCAGGGGAAATAATTTTCTACATTTTACTAAGATTATTGATGAACCTGTAAGAATCCAAGAGGTTTGGTGAGCAATAATAAGTTGGAAATATGAATGGTAAAGCCCAAAGTCCCAGGCTCACAGATGAACAATATGCTGAATCCTGAGCCAATAAATGGTGCTTAGAACTGCAGGGTTGGAGGGTATCACTGGGACAAACTTAGACACTGAAGAGGCTATATTGCTATTCTGTATGTTCTCATCAGCCAAAAACAAAGCACAAGATGGGAAAATGACCAGTCATAAAGAGCCATGTAAACAGAGCCTAGTAGCAGGGTGCTGCTGGGTCAGCAGAAGGTGACATCTGACAGCCACACATAGACTGCTGGGAAGAGCAAGGAGCAGGGAGCGCTGACAGGTGCCCTTGAGCTGTGCACTGACTTCTGCATCTTTCCAAAGCACGGATAAAATACATGGATGTTGGATTCCACTCTTTTTTTTTTTTAATGTAGAACATGACAAAACCACTCAATTTTGTTTCCTGATACAGAAACTGTGATATCAGAATATCCAGACTGTATGTGTGGGGGTTGGTTAGGTAGGAGAATAGGCTTCAGGAAACAGAACTGCAAGGTGTCTTAAACACTCTCTAATGAGCTTCGTTAGATATGAGGGGGAGAATAAATAAACACCAGTATCTAGAACGACTTGGCAGATTCTTGTCAGCCCAAACATTGCTCTCTGGAGTTTTGGCTGACATTTTTTTTTTTTAAGTCAGGAAAACCAACAAAGAAACAAACAAAACCCCTCAAAGACGTGCATGTGCCCAAGGTGCCTTGTTAGTGAGCCACGTGGCAGCTCCTGCCAATTACATGTCTCCTTGCTTTCCTGTCTCTCTTTTACAGAGTGGCAGTGACCTGCCAGCAAAGCATGGGGCCTCCGAAATGGCAGCTCACATTCCCCTGACAAGGCAGCGTGGGCCACACTAACGTGTGCTGGCTGTTTATAGTCTGCTGAACGTTCCAGCACAAACATCTCTAATGCTGAAATACAAAGCCTCTTCACACTAATGGCATCTGGTGTAATTTATAACTGCCAAATACGCTGTGTGCAGATTCATATCTTCTTCAGATTGGCAAATAAACTGGAATTTATAAATAATTTAGACTTTATTTGATAAACAGTGCTTCCTGAGGCCATCTGTTATAAGATGACTCCTTCTTTTCTCTCTTAGAACTAATGTTCATTTTTGACCCAAGTCATGAAACAAAGAGGGAGTAGAGTGTTTTGATGTAAACTGAAACCAGTTTTCAAATTAGAACTAATTTATCTTAATCTAGAAAAAGGCAAAGCTCATGAAGGAACATTTTAAGTTGTGTTTATTTTCCTTTCATGTATTGTACGAGTGCCTGCATGTATGTATATATAGCGTGTGTGTGTGTGTGTGTGTGTGTGCGCTCCTCTTAAGAGTGGTTGTTTTAGTCACTGTCTTGATTCTTAACTAAGGACGAAGTTTGGTCTCAATATAATTCATTTAGCAATGACTGTAGATACCCCTTGGAATCTGCTGAGTGGAAGCCACTGAATATATATGAATACAATTCAGGAAAGTCTCCTATGGTAAAGTCAGTATCAATGTCAGTAGTCTAGAGCCCCAAAATCCCTGAGCCATCATGTTTTTGCTTGGTACTTGATGAGGTTCTGCGGCAGCTATGAAGTCTAGGTGAGGAAAGTTGAAGGAGAAAGAAAGAACCTGGAAAAAATACAGCTAGGAAGAATAAAATCAGCTATAACTATGGCCAGGTATATTAAAGAAATCCAAGTGAACTTAGGTCTTACTCCAAGTCTTAGCATTTCTCCAAGAAGGCCCTGTGGACAATTAAATACCATCAGCTTAACTTGAGAAATTCTAATGATCATCATAGCATTCAAAAGTAAGTTCAAAATGGATTTATCAAGAAATTCCTTTATCTAAGAGTCAATTAACTTAAGAAAAAAATTATGAAAATTTCAGAAAAATAAATGGGACTGGGAAATACCATATTAAGTAATATATATACATATATATATATAACATATTGTTGTATAATACATACTTTTATTAATTTATGCTAATATATCAAGCACTATTTTTTATACATTAATGTATATATTGCTTGGAGAGACAAATACTGTATGTTCTTGCGCCTATGTAGATCCTAGCTTCTACTCACTAAATACAGAGGTATCTGGGCAGGAGTAAACACGGGTAAAGGCCAGGAAACTAGAAATGGGCAAGGAAAGATAGTGAGGTAAACAATAGAACAAAGTGGAAGGGAGGAACACTGAGGCCAAAAGGGTAGGGTGGGAAATAGGGGAAGAGGGAGGTGAGAGGGAGAGGGGCCAGAGCACCCACTAAAATAAATATGCATGAAAAATATGTAAGTATAAATAAATGTTTACTTTTTAAGCTAATTAAAACAAAATTAAAATATTTTAGAAAGAAAAAGTGAATAGGGGTATCAGTGTATAGATGGTGGAGAGTAAAGGTAGATAAGAAGTGTGGATGGAAAATAGAAATTTAAGAGAAAGGTGATCATGGACTAGACCTTATGAAATGAAGCAATGACTCCCAGCTCAAATGACTTCTGTTTAGTTTTTATGAAAGAAGAATTTCATTCACATTGAAGGTATAGTTAAATGCTAGGTGCATATTGCCTAATTGGATAAGTTACTGGAGTGTGTAACAGGAATGCTGTGTGCATTTGTTATGCATAATTGAAGATAAATTAAGAGCAGCTTTTTCATGTGCTTGCCAAATAATCATTCAGAGAACTATGTAAATTTTATCTAATTAATGCTAGGTGGATTTCAGAAACACAC